TTAAAGCTAATACACGCAACGGTTGAAATAAGAAATAAGAATTATTTACTTTAATTCAATTCAATTCAGTTTATTTATATAGCGACAATTCAAAACACATGTAATCTTAAGGCACTTTCCTATTGAGTTCCGTCCCAGAGTTCACGGGGATGGATGTCTGTGTCTTCTGCAGGCGTAGAGCTAACAGAACTGGCAACGTTGCGAGGCAAGGGCTCAAACGTGTACGGCTGTAAGCCTTCTACACCAAACCAAGCTTCTGCTGCCCTGGCGTCCTCTTTCACAACATCTTCGTCCCTGCTTCCTCCTCTAAATAAAAAATGTATGACGGAGGAGACTCATCCACGACCTCCGACATAAAACTCTCCTCCTCTTGCATGTTTCTGCTGTCCATATCCTTGACAGTGGCGTTGCTAAGTCACCAATATAGTGCTACTTGGTCCCAATGGAATTTCCCATTGAGAACCTACTAGCACTAAGTTGCTAACTGGTTAGCAAGATGCTTCTGACAAACCTGCCACAACCAAACGTCCTTGCGAACCTTCCGCCACAAAAACAATGCCCCCTAGATAAACGACCAATCACATTCACTTAATTCACTCGTGTTAAGTTGTGCACCACTCGGGAGAATTCGGAACTGCAACAGTTGGAACAGCCGCTTCCTTTATATAAACTGGTATCAAACTCAATTAGAAATGTTACTTTTTTTGGTATTGATGTACTTGAACAAGATCTGTTATTTTCCAGATTGACCTTCGCGATGACCCAAAGACCATCGCAAAACTGAACGACTTGAAGGAGAAGCCAATTGCCACTGAGCAAGGACAAAAACTGGCCAAGGAGGTTTGTACAATCAAACACAGGGAAGCAGCTGAAGCAGGAGAACTCTGGGAATCAAGCTGATTGGCTCTTTTAAATTCCTTTGTCCTGATTTAATGCCAGAATTTAACAATACGAATGTGATCATTTTATGTGAGATAAATGCAATAGGATCTTGTCAGCAGGAAAGTATGAACTAAAGCTCTAAAAAAGTCTATGAAGATTTGTCAAACTACTGTGCAATTTAAACAGTAATCCTATTTTAGAAAGTCATTAGGTTCCCATGTTCAGAGTTTAATATATCTGGACATAAAAAACATTATCTGCTCCTCCCCAGCTTATAGAAATGTTTTAATGTACCCTCAAGTGGAAATGTCCAACACCTCCAGTGTGAACTTCCAACATTGATTGTAAACATGTAGGTTAGTAGTGTGGCTCTTAAAGTGTAAAGGATCAAATTCAGAAATGATCAAGTTTCCTTTAAAACTAGGCAATTTACACATGCGATTTACTTTCTCCAGTGCATATCACCCACAAAGTGACAAAACTTAAGATAGATAAAAGAAACTGTTCCCACATGGGGGTTGGAAGGAGGCGACGGGTTTGGAGAACAAACCATGAGCGAGCAGAGGAGCATGCAGTCATTCATGGTACATATGTACCATGATGTATGTGTGGAGATTCGCTTACATAGTGTAGTTTAAAACTGCTTAAATTAATATTTATTGCACCTTTTGGCTGAATTCTGCCTTCATACTTGCTGTAGAAAAGAGTGCTTTGCCTGTTAATTTAACCCTCATATATTATAAAGTAGGGATATTTAGGATAATATAGTCAGTTTTTTCTGTGTGTAATTTTGTTTTTTGTATTAGATTGGAGCTTGTTGCTATGTGGAGTGTTCAGCACTGACCCAGAAGGGCCTGAAGACGGTGTTTGACGAGGCCATCATTGCCATTTTGGCTCCAAAGAGAAAAAAAGGATCCCTGAAGAGAAGACTGGGACCCCGCTGCATCAACTGCTGCCTGATAACGTGATGCGGCTGCCCTGTGACCTTTAGGGAAAAGAACGCAAACCAAACATGGACTGAAGACAAAAGACAGGCTAAGGAAAAATGCTAAGACAAAAACAAGGAGGGTTGATGGACAAAACAAGAACTACGTGATTCTAAGATTCATGACTCTGGAATAAAAAAAAAAATGTCTCCTGTGCCGTTTTTACCAAAGGAGCTCAAAGCCCTGTCAGTCTCTTCTTCTACAAGACTTTTGCCTCAAAAGTACCTTCTTTTATAACCATTTAAATCATTTTTTTGTTTGTTAATGTCAATGTATGCCATTATAAGCAACAGGAAATACAAATGACATTTCAACTATAAGATCAATCTTTATTCATAAATATATCTATTGTTTTTAACAAGGAGTTTTTAATAATATGTTTATATTCCAAAACGATGAAAGAAAATGAGTATGAAGTAATGAAAGTGTCCTGGGAGAACTGGTGTGTTCAAATTTTTTGTTTTAAGCCCAGCTTTACATGTTGAAGTGCTCCATATTTGGACCTACAGCGTAAACCACTGATAGTACAGCGCTGTTCAAAGATGTATTTCTAAGATTTCTGTTGATGATGATTGTTCTGAAGTAGGATATGCTAAAATACTCCAAGGTAGGAAGAGACTGAGGAGTTAACAAGAAAATAAAAAGCTTTATTATTCATTTTTAGAATCTATAACAACCAGAGTTTATGAGATTGTATCAGTAAATCAAATATCACTGAGATCATATTTATCAGCTAAAGAATTACTTTTTGTTATTGTGTAGTAACAAGCTATGTTTTTAGCTGTTTTAAAAGAGAACATGAGGATTAACTTGATTTAAGAATTTAATCTTGTTTTTCTCTCAAAGAAAAAAATGCACACTTATCGTTAGAGGGCATATATCATCATTTTTACTATATTTTCTGTTAAACTTCTTTTTTGTCTCTTTTTTTTTCATTTTTAATACTTTGTCATATAACATATTTCTCCTTTAAAAGTAAAAAACAAAAATCAAAAGCTAGCACAGAGCAGAGGAAAGTTGTTGAAGAGTAATGGTGTGACATTTAAATGTTAGAACTCGGACATAGCTGCAAAATACTATGTCCAAACATGACAATATTCATGATTGCAAATTCAGCTCTAATTTTGAGTTTATCAAGTAAGGATATGTATGATGAACCATCTAGACAGGAGGGGAATTTCAGGGAAATTAGATTCTGAGACTTTTATCTTAAAAACTTAACAAACTGGCACCCTTCCCAGGGATTTAAAAGAGCTCAGCCTTACACTTAATCTGCATATAATTTAAGTGGCAAATTACCACTTGTGATTGTAACTCATTCATAACAAATGTTTGTTCTGAAGTTCTGCTCTGCTTCTGTCTTTCATGGTAACTAAACACAAACTTGCATCAGTAAATATCTCCTAACAGCTGTGTGAGACTGGTTGGAAAAGTCTCACTTTTCTCCTTATGCCATTTATGGCTATTGGCCTGTCTGCCATTTGTTTCCATTGATGTATTAGTAGCCCTTGGAAATCACTTTAAAATAGTATTACACTAGTGAATGATGAGAGAGAAGCTAAAAATATGGATAAATTATTGGACTAAGGCTGTATTGAAACATTTTTGTCTTTCTGACTAAGACAAGGAGGGAAAATAACAACTCAAACACTTTTATTGTGGCTAAGCTTGCAGGATTAATTGCAGAAAGCTTCTTGAATTTAGTGGGGGCCTTAGTACGAAGAAAAATAAAGGCCAAGGCAAAAGATGGTATCTTTTTTTCTCCACAACTATGCTTCATTTTATTGGTCTGGCTGTTTACTCCCTTCTTAAGCTAGCTTTCCTAGCTGTGCGCCTGACCTGTGTAGTGTCCCCAAAATCCAATGTTTAAATTATTTTATAAGCACAGGGCAAAAAGTGTTTTAATAGGTGAGCCAATCTGTTCCCCTGATTTACTTCTACGGAGCTCATCTGTTTACGGCATAGAGGACCCTAAATGCTACTTCCTCTCTATGGTAGTGCCTTCCAGTTTTAGTTTCTCAAAAGCTTCTTTTTGTTTTGCAAAAGTGTGTTTTGAAATACTAATAAATACAGTAAAGGATTTTGTTTATAATGTTTGAGACCATCACCATTTGTAGGGTTTTTTTGGCTCTAAGATATGATGACATATGCCTTCTAGAAAACTGGCTAAAATGACCCAATACTGTAAAAGCTCTGCACAACAATGCAGCACAGCTGCTGCAGATCCATTTTGTTAGCACAACAATGCATGTTTCCTAAATTTCCAACACCCCCTCTGTTCCGGGAACAGCTGTCTGAAGCACACAAGATGCACATGGTTCTGTCAGGCACAGCAGGCATAGCACATCTGGCATGAACAATCAGTAGTACATCATGCTAGAACCCTGCAGCAGGGTTCTATTGTAGCTCTCCAAGGTCACCATTATGGAAATAATAGTAAGAACACTGATTTAAATGGATGTGTAAAATAAAATCAAATGTGGTTTCCTTAAAAGCTGATACATTAAACTTCTACACTTCTAAAACCTCTATTATAAACAAAAGCTAAAAATTGCTCAGTTAGCTTCCTCCACAAATATCAAGTCTTTGCTGGTATTTCTCTAAATATTTACATCAGTTAGTTGTATTTTACTTCTGCCTTTTATAAGTTAACTTAACTTACATCTAATGTCAGCTGTGTTGGCCCCTAAATGCAACCAGACTAGTTAAGTAATGCCAGCTCAGCATGATTTACTATTTACTAATTTAATATGTAGCTGAAAAGTGATGCTGCCAAACCATTCTAAATCAGTTAGCAGTAAATAACTTTTTTGTTTTTTGAAAACTGAGTGTTGTTTGGTTTTTTACAATCAAATGGAACAAAGGGACAGGTTTATGTACACTAATGACACTGGTTGAGGCCTGTTTCAAACTCAAAAAGAGGTTGAACCTTGATCCATCCACTGGGTTCTGCTTTTCCAACTATGGCTCATGGTGGCCCATAAATATGTGTTTAGACAATGTCATTCTGGGGGTTCCCTCGCATTTTAGGGCCAAAGGTGATGTTTCGTCTCTACAGCCTCTCTGAATTCCTGCTACATGCTTGCAGGAATCACTGGAATTTGCTGTAATATGATTTGAAGAAGATATAGCCATGCTATGTCCTTACCGAGGGTAGAACCTGATGTCTATACAAATACATTTGGTTAGCTGAAATTATTTTATGTTTGAAACAGCTGCAGTGTACATTGGCTCATTGCATTGCTCTGGCCCCAAGAAAAAGGATATCATCGAAGCAGCTAAAACAAAAAGTCCATCCCGTCCTCCCTTGCACTTGGCTGGGGTAGTTATTTGGTGCCTTTACAATTAAAGATGACTGCCGAAATGTAAAAAGAAATAAAACTTTTCCACTGTAAATACAGATATGGACTGGCATGTCAGATAGAAGAACAGAGAAAACCAAGGGTTTAAAGTGGGGGGGAAAGCTGATTTATCAGTAGCTATAAATATAATGTTAAAATGTTACTAAAACACAGAGGAAGTGCAGCATATCTCTATTTGATCTGAAAAAAGAAAAGATTTGAGAAGAAGAGAAGTAATCCATTTTCTTTTTCCAGGTGTTTTACTACTGTCTGATTTTATTAGTACAATAGTAAGTCACTAGGTTATAATAGTAATCAGAAACTAATGCTTTAAATAACAAAGTGGTGCTAATCAATTTATTATGGTTAATTCAGCAGAGTTTATACTCAAAATGTGAACCTTTGTAGGATTTAGAAGTGTTTTTGAGGAGCTGTAGCGAAAACTCTCAAGTTGTAATTTAACTTTCTTTTGGGGGGTGGGGGGGGGTGGGCCAGCCAAATACAAAAACGATGTGTCCCTTTTATTCAATATGCATTTTATTTTTTCTAGCTTTTTCATAGACATTACTCGAAGGTGCCAATTTTTACTGTTGATTTGTTTGTTATGATTAAGTAAAGCTTTAATGTTGAAGGTGCTTCTTCTCTCTTTCCTAGCCTGTGTTGTGTAACTGTCCTTTCTACAACGCATCACTGCAAGGTGATTGGCCCAGGCTCTCGGACAGTTGTGCTTGCTTATGTCATATGAAGGTCCAACCTCTCCGCCTCAGGATCAAGGACCTAAGTGCCGCAGCCAACAATGCATTCTCCCATTGATGCTACTCTTTTCTCAATAAACATGTTTCCTGTGTTGACAAACCACCTTTTTGCTGCTTTTCATGAGGATAATGACAGATCTGCTGCAAACAAGGCTAAAGAATCTATCTAGTCCATTAAAAAAGTACACAGTGAAATGTTTTCCTGCAGTCAGAAAGCCCTTTGTTAAAACACAAACCATGGCATTCATAAAATAAATAACATGTTCTTTAGGTGCATGCATTAATTTGAATCTACAGTCCAAAGTAATGTAAGTTTTGTTACTTTACCGCTTTATTTATCAAATATGAACGATCTGAGCAGGCTTCAACCTACATCTCACAAGCTGACTGCTGAAGTTTAACACCAGCCTGATGTATGAATTTTAAGTATATTTCCATGAAAATTTGATGTAAGTCAATGATATGCTGTCAATATTTTGAGTTGGAGCATGGATAACTTAATGTAGCTTTGCATAACTTTTGTCATCCCTGAAAGTGACCAGCTGGCCCTTTTCATTACCTTATAAAATTCTTTATGCAGTATCTGCCTCAAACTCTGGGCACCTCCTACATTGTTTTGGAAGGATATAGTGGTAGAGCAAACATATTACCTCATGCACATGACATTTTTATGTGCTTGGGACATCTTTCCAACCCACAGTCTTGGGCTTCAGACTTTTTTAGTATTTATAAAGACCATATCGGTTGCTTGGTTGAGCTAAATATTAGTGATATGATCTGTTCACTGTTCCTTTTTTTCTAGGGTCTCTGAAATAGCTTAACAGCTGAACTTAAATCAGGGTAATAATACCCTAACAGGTGGATTTTATGAGATAGAGCTCCGTTGATGGAGTTGACTTGGAGTGTAATTACTTTGACCTCAATTCTCTCATGTGTCATGTTAAAGTATCTGTGGTTAAAAAAAACTTTGGACACTTCATTCCTACAAGTAGAATGCAGAAGTAGTAGCTTATTTTTGTTGGTTAAAAGGCAGCAGAGAAAATATTAAGATAGTTTTCATCTTTTGCACTTGACAAATTTAAAAGGCATTAAAGTCATCAGTAGATCCACTGATTGACTTGTGTGTCCAAACTTAGTCTCAAGGCGTTTTTATGCAGGTTTATGGTCAGAATATTTTCCATTCATAAGTGTTCAAATTAAGTAATTTTCATGAAACACTGTTATTTTTGAGATTTTTGTTTTTTTTTAAGGTACAAGATATCTTATTTACTTATGGTAAATAAAAAATGTATAACAAGTTATCAACTGAGGGTAAGATATTTCTATAAAGAGGCAATTCACACTTGAAAATCTCAATTGGGAAGAATTTAAAATCAATTCTGTGGGCCAGAATTCCTCCGGATAAAAAGGCCATTGAGCCAAAGTGAACTACAAACTTTGATGGATTTTCGTTATTTCATTTATTTGCAACAAAATCTACCTGTAAATTTCACCTAGATTTATATGCAGTTAATAAGTTGCCATGATGCATTTACCACTTGTTTACTTTTTCAGAATAAGGGTTTAGTTTGTTTACAACCTAGAGCCACAAGATGGCGACAGCACCTTTGTTACAAAGGAAAAGACCTCTAGAAGTTCTGCAGCAACTCCTTTAATTTCCATTTAAGGCATTTCTTTTAAAAAAGGGTATTTGTTAAAGATAGGAGATTTTTTTGGCCTAAGTTTGATTCATTTTGAATAAATACTTCTATAGACACAAATAATATGTAGGTCTAGCTTGTTTGTCCAAGTTATTCTAGTAATCCTTCACTTATACGCTGGATTCATAACCTGCCATATACTGAACATATAGACTAACATCTCCCAGTGCACTATATAGATAGGTATTTGTATAAACATTTACTCTTTGTT